AAAAAAAAAAAAAAAGAAACAGGATAAAAAAATGTTGTAAAAAAAAACCTTTACTTATTTGCTATTCTGTTTCTGCAATTGTTCAATTTTAGAAAAAAAAATTTTTTTCTACTTTATTTTTATTTTTTGTTTTGCAGTTATTAAATCTTTCTGCAAATTATATTGTAAATATATCGTCGAATTCATTACGGGGTATGCCAAATTTGATGATCCTGGATTTGAGTAACAATGAAATTGTTTTACACGAAGAAATGATCGACTTTTTATCCCATACACCACGTTTACATCAGGTAAATTGTATTCTGAAAAAAAAAAGAAGGATTAGAACCAAAATAAAGTACAATAAAAAACAGTTGACATTTAGTTGGATACTTAGTTTACAAGATAGAAAAATTTCTCACCAATTCAGTATCAAAGCCGTACTTTATACAGAAAAAACAAAAGAAAACAGTTACGGAGGAGTAAAATACAGTGCGGGAAAGCAAAGATGCATGGAAACCATCAAACATTTCAGCCATTTCACTACTCAGTTCTTTTTTTAGCCATAAGATCAATTTTTTTTCTCATTTTTTTTTTTTGCTGTTAGAAAATCAATTGATAATTACAATTTAAACATTCATTTAAACTGTTTAAAAAATATTTTTTTTAACAAAAAAATTACTTTGACAAATTGAAAATTTTTGTCATTTTTTTTGTGGTGTCAACTTACTAAACCACCATTTTTCCTTTTTTTTTGCTCACCAATTGAGTAACTAACTGTTTAACACCGATTAAACTTAATGCCTATCAAAAAAAGTTATGAAAAAAAAGAAAAATAGGTTTTTTTTTTTCTGCTAGAAATTTCACTTCTATTAATTTGATCGTTTTGTACCTTTCTTTTTTTTTGTTTTGTTTTTTTTTTTGATTAGGTATAATTTGTTTTGAATGATGAAATTCAATGCAGTTTAAAGTGAATTAAATTTGTGACTAACTTATATATTTTGGTATATTTTAGGTTTTTTAACAGTTATTTATCATTAATCAACTTTTGCTTCAGAAAATTTAGAAAAAAAAATAAGTTGACAGCCTCTGTTTGATCTTTATTTTTTTGTTGTTTTGTTTTGGTAAATTTATTTCAATTGTTCCTCTTTCTTTTTTGGAGTTACCAAGCATTGCATATTTTTTTTCGCCAAATATTTTTGTAAAATAGCCAAAAAAAAATGATGTTGATAAAAAATAAATAAAAAAGAAAAAGGAAATAAGGTGCTGAAAGAAAAAAAAAAGTGGAAATGAAAAAGCAGAAATAAGAAAACGGTTTTGATATAGATTCTTCTTGGCAGTTTTTTTTTTCCTTTTTTTTTTTTGTTATTCAGATTCGCACTAAGCTTAAAGAAAGAGAAACCAAAAGAACCAAAGTTTATTCTTTTTTAGACTTATGCAAAGCTATTATTAATAGATGTAAATGATGTCGATTTATTGTATTTTTTTTT